TCCAATGGTCTGGGCTCCGGTCGGGCACACTGATTGGCTCAAGCCGTCCCGTCGCTTGGCTCGGAATCAGCTCACGATATCTCGGAGTGCGCAGTTCTCCTTCCTGCTGGCGTCGCAGCCAAGCTGCCGGTACTGGAGTACGTTCCGTTTCCATCCCTGGCATTCTCCCTGGTGACGTGGTAGCGGGACGATTTTCCCATCAAGCGCGTGCCTCTCTTGCCCAGTGTACATCGTATGGCGTCCCGCCGGGATCTGACGCTACGGCTCTGGACGACTCCATACCACCGCGCTGATCTCTGTCTCTTTGGTGAGGGGTCTGATATATTCTGGGGGTCGAGGCGGCTGAGCGCTTGTTATCCGCCACCGGCGCCCGGTCCGCGGAGGTAGCTGCAGCTGCACGCCAACTGGGTTCTGCTGCTATGTCATCTCTTCTATAGCTATGTCCTGACCTTAGTTTAAACCGGTCGTTCATCCTAAGTAGGCCTACCGTGGACGGTAGGCTTCCTTGCTTGTATGTTGAAAGCTCTCAGCCCGCCTCGTCAAACTAGATGCACTCAGCTCGGCTGACTGACGGGACAGGGATTAGAAACCCCTTTGATGACTTGCTGGGATTGGCTCCTCCACTTGTCGCTTCTCGAGCGGGGTAGGGATAAACTCTTTTGCTTATAGAGGAAACATACAAGCAAGCAACTGATACATCTTCTGGTGCTTGCTTAAGTATGAGCCGTGGGGTTACCGTTGCGAGGCAACGGTAGTTATTCGCGAGGCCGCTGAGTTTCCCGCTTGGTACACAGTGGTCTCGGTTCTTCCTTTTTATTCTCGTTACTTCCTTCCTTCCTACTCTACTCTGTTATGCATTCATATTGCTAGTCCTACGTCCTGATCCAATTTAATGCATGACATCCTTCTACTGCTGACCCGTCGCTGTTTCTGTGCACCGACACCTCGCTGCCGCCGTTCTACATCCTCGTGTACATCGACGACTTGGTCTTTGCCACAGCTAACACTGCCGCACTCGCCCACGTGAAGTCTGAGCTGCAGAAGAGACACACGTGCACAGACCTGGGTGAACTGACAAGCTATCTTGGCTTGCGGATCACCCGGGACAGAGGACGCCGCACCATTACCCTGACTCAGTCACACATGGTGCAGCAGGTCCTTCAGCGCTTCGGCTTCACGTACTCCTCGCCTCAGTCCACTCCTCTGCCTACGGGACACTCGCTCTCAGCTCTGCCTTCGGATGAGTCCGTAGAGTCGAGTGGTCCGTATCCAGAGCTTGTGGGCTGCCTCATGTACCTGATGACCTGCACTCGACCTGACCTCGCATACCCTCTCAGCATCTTAGCACGCTATGTTGCTCCCGGCCGTCACCGGAAGGAGCACATGGATGCAGCTAAGAGGGTTTTGCGCTACTTGTGCAGTACGTCGGGCATGGGGCTAGTGCTTGGAGGGCGTGAGCGGCCTGTGCTCACTGGGCACTCAGACGCTTCTTGGGCTGACGACCAGGCTACTCAGAGGTCGTCCCAGGGTTACACCTTCAGTCTTGGCTCTGGCTCTGTCTCTTGGCGCTCTACTCGCTCTTCTTCGGTTCTCAGCTCCAGTTGTGAGGCTGAGATCTACGCCACGGCCATGGCTGCCCAGGAGCTTCGCTGGCTCACCTACCTGCTGACTGACCTTGGAGAGCGGCCTCGTTCTCCTCCAGTGCTGTACGTCGACAACAAGGCAACCATTGCCTTGTGTTAGGAGCACAGACTGGAGCACAGGACGAAGCATATTGCTCTGCGCTACTTCCTTGCTCGAGAGCTGCAGCAGCGTGGTCAGCTTCACCTGCGTTTCGTGGCCACTGAGGCCAACACTGCTGATGTGTTCACCAAGGCACTTCCGCCTCGTGACCATCAGCGCTTTTGCACTCTGCTAGGCCTTGTGCCCACTAGGCCTCACTTGCTTACCTCTTGACCTTGCTTGTACTGCTGCATATATATATCCTTGCTCTTGCTTGTTTAGCACTGTTATATATATATGCTCTGCTGCATGTGAACTGGCCTTGTGGCCTTGACCTTGTGCTCGGAATTTGTGTGGTATCCTTGAGATCCACCCTGAGCTTGCTTTGTTTCTCTTTGCTTGTCTTGCTTGACTGGTCTTGTGACCCCTTGCTCTCCCCCACTTTGCCTATGGGGGTGTGTCAGATTATATTTAGCTGATGCATGTATTGTAGGCTTTAGTGGGGTAGCCCATATGGGGTACAACCCAATTAGGGTTGGTACTTGTACTTGTTTCATTTCATAGTGCATTCATTCCTCGCCTCTATCTCAACACAGCGGGCATGGTTGGCGTTGGCGAGATCGCGGGTAGGGGGGGGGGAGTAACGGGGGGGTGCAACAGGTGTCGCGACGAGCGCCTTAGTACAGCTCGCCGTCGCTTGCGTGGCAGCTGCAGTGGTAGCAGCCGCATGTTCGACGGGAGGGCGGGGCAGGGGGCGCGTTTGGCGATTGAAGCAGCTCGGCCGCCACACCCGCCATCTCCCCCCAAAGCGACCGTCGATGCAGACGATCGGGGCCGCGACAGGGCGTGACGAGGTTGCAGGAGGGCGCGACGGGCAGGCGACGGGGCCGCCGACTGGGGCCGCGACGAACAGCACTAAGCTCGCCACGCTCGACTTCGCAACCTTCACGACGAGCGGCTGAACGGGCACAGCTGGGGCCGCGACGAGCGCCATGGCAGGAGCGATATGCGGTGGGCCCATGGAAAAAAAAAAAAATCAGGTCCTAGGATAGGAACCACTCTGATAACATGTGAGAAGTAGAACGAGGATGCTAGTAGCAAGGCTTAGGAGCCATGGCGAGTTGGGAGAAAGCGGTTGAGTTCGAGTGAGTTTAGGTGAGTAGGAAGATTGCAACAAAAAGAGAGTGTTCACTATAGAGCGAGCAGTACAAATAGGCAAGAATGAAGAAAGGTGCACCACCAAACAGAAAGTTATATGACTACAGTAGTCTACACTACAGGCAGTTACGAAACAATATATAGAATTATATATTATTCTGACAGCGACTGCAAATCAAAACCGGCCAGAATAGGCAAACAGTGGCAAAGTTACGAAGGGAGAGTACGTGGCACAATTCACGGCTGCATCTCATCCAAACCAGCTCGACACAGACCAAACCGGGTTTTCATCCTAGCGGGGAGAGGTACCTGGACCCCTCCGCTGAAAGGGCAGGGTTAGCGCTCTCTGCGCATGGTTTTCGCAAAAGGCTAGGCTAGGGGGGGAGGGTTATCGTTCAGGTTAGGGAGTCGAGCCCTCAATGAGCCACGTGTTTCATCCTACGCTTGCTCGCTCACTGTACATCCCAACCACAGATTCCGCACTGCGCGCGCTTGTCTTTTCTACCGAACCCATCCCACGTTCCGGGTGGCACGACGGGTCACTGTTCCCAAACCACTGTGGCCCTACCTTTCGCACCAATACTTGTTACAGCTTCACTGAAAACGCACAGAAACTCCGTCAAATGACTTTCACGTCAAGGTTTGGCACACAGGAAAAGTGAAACACAATACAGGTAAATCCGTTACGATATGTTGAATTGATTGCGCATAGAATGAAAGTAGGGATATAAAATAAGAATGCCTAGGTCAGGTTTTCATATGCAAAACCTTGATTTGTGTTATTAAACCCTTGTCGGGTTTAGTATTGGATCAGTGACTATGTCGTATATATACATGATTGTGGAAACCTAAAGATCGTCGAATTTCAAGCTCCACGCGAGCTCTTAGACATTATCTTGCCGCACTGCTCGTTATTGGGTAGCTGGAGTCACCATCATGCCGCATTCGTCGCCGGAAACGGCGACCAGTTCGCCGCCGTCGCAATCGTCGTCGCTCGCCATGAAGCCGTGGTCCCCCGGGGTGAGCACCTCGCCTCACCTCTCCCCCCTGTCTGTAGTCCTCAATCAACTCACTAACTCTTCACATTGTACGCATCTGAAAGCGCCCCACCTTCTCGTGTCACGGAGAGTCCAGCCTCGGTAGGCCATCTGAAATGATCCAGGTCGGACCTGACAATCTGGTCCTGGTTGCCAGGCATTTGCTCGGAGTCTCATTGTGGGAACCTCTGGATCTTGCATCAAGCGCAAAAATTTGCTCAAACGATCTCAGTCACATTCTGTTACTGACATTCACGCCCATCCGTGCGTGCCTCCGACTTAGCTCATCATAATGGCAGGAGGACGCGGTGCTGCTGCGCCACGCGCTGCAGTGCGGCACGAAGCAGTGGGGCGAGCTGGGGAGGAGCGGTCAGCTCAAGAGGAACAACAAGTCGTGCTGTAACCGATACATCTTCCTCCGAAGGTATTCTGCACCCCAGCACTCTAGCGTTTCAAACTTACCAAGCAATTTCATTTCTGAACTCCTCTCGGTCCGTGTCTTGGTCGCAGGAAGTTTGTTCAACGCTTTCAACAGAACCTCCTGAGGAAGCACCTGCGACACACTTTTGCAATGGACGGCCACGGTCACTGCCAAGAGAACCAACAGCAGCAGCAGCGCCAGGACGGTGCGGTTTCACCTGAGTCTCAATCGCTCGCCCTTTCTTTCGGTGGACTGTCGTATGAAGAATGCAGGAGCGTGTTCTTCTCACCCAATGCCCGTAGCTCTACCGACCCTCATCTGCCATCTTTCTGGTTCCCTCCTACCACCCACCACACTGCTGTCCTCACTTCCACTGCCGCCTCCAATGCTCCCTTCTCCAGGTCGCCTTTCTCCGCTGCCACTTCTCCCCCCAAAGTTGCTGCTCTCCCAAATTTCATTCCTGTTCCCAATGCCGCCGCTCTCTCAAATGACTCTGTGGCGACCAACACAGCGACATACGCCAGAGCAGCAGCGCTCAGCCTGCCCATGAAGAGAGCACGGGAGGAGATGAGCTCTCTCTCACGGCCAACCAGCCCCTCCTGTCGAATGCCTCCCGGGATGAGCTTGGGCTGCCTCGTCGTGTGGCACAGCGGCCTCAGTCCCTAAGGGAGCTGCTTCAGCTGCGCGGCGAGAGGTGCCGGCAGCAGCAAGCTCTGTGGCCTGCCGTGGGGTCGGAGAGAGCCTGGTTTGCCCATCTGCTGCTGGAGGAGCGTCGCCAGCAACAAGGGGAGAATGGCGCGGTGTAGCGGGTGTTGTGGCCGCGCGTTGGGTCGGAGAGTGCCCTTCCAGACGACGTGCTGCTGGGGTGCAACAGCGACGACCCCGCCTTCATCCAGCGCTCTGCTCTGTCTGCTCCTCTGCCCACCCAGCCACACGCAGCGCTGCCAGCGCCAATGCCCTCCCAACTCGCTGCCGGGCCTTATTCTGCTCCCTGCATTGGCGATTCCAAGCCCTGCATTGGCGATTCCAAGCCCTGGATTGGCGATTCCAAGCCCTGCATTGGCGATTCCAAGCCCTGCTGTGGGGATGTGGCTCCGTGCGTTGAAGATGCGCCCCCTGCTGACGCCCGTGCTGCTGTACAGCAGCTGGCCCAGTCCGTCGACTCCTGCAGCCAGGAGCACGGCAACAGCTATGCGCATGACAGCAAGAGCGATGTGCATGCACACGGCAGCAGTAACCACGACATCCCAGTGCAGGGCAACAGCAATGTGCCCTACGGCAGGAGCGAGAGCCTCTTTCTCGACGCGCCCGTCTCCCACCTGTGCCTCTCTGAGCCTGGCCCCTCCGTGCCGCGGGCAGGTGGGAGCCTGGCACCCCCAGAAGGTGGGGTGGGTCTGCCAGAGCGGGTGGTGGAGCAGCGAGGCACCCTCGAGGGAGGTGTTGGTTCACACAAGGATCATCGGGAGCACCCACGCGGTCATTACCAGCAACAGCTGAGCTGTCACCAGCATTGCGTACAGCTTGCATGTGTTCCCTCGTTGTCATCACACCAGCCCCTGCCACACCTGCCACTGCCACAGGCTCAGGCACAGGCACAGGCACAAGCACAGGCACAGGCACAGGCACAGGCACAGGCACAGGCACAGGCACAGGCACAGGCACAGGCACAGGCACAGGCACAGCCACTGATGCGGCCATTGTCCCAAGCGCCTGTGCTGTCAGGCTTTGCCAATAGCAGCCCTCAGCATTCACATGAAACACTTTCACACCCAAGGGCCCCACACATGCCGGCTCCCATGCCTCCCCCTGCCCTGCCACATGCGCAGCCTGATGTGATTGCCTCGCCAAGCCTCATGAAGCCAGCGGTTGATCCTTGTTTTAATGTGGGTGATGCCCTGGGAGGTGATTCTGCTTCCTGGGAGAGCTCCTTCCCTCCCGGGCTCAACTCAGATGTGCCTTCTGCAAGCAGTCTGCTTGGGCTCGGAGAAACAGCTGATTTGAAGGTGGAGGATGGCTGGAGAATGGACATGCCTGGTGTCAACTCTGTGTGTGATGAGCCATACAGCTTTCCAGATACGGCCGTGCTTTCTCATGGGATATATCCAACACAGTTTATACTCCCCCAGGTGCTGTCGTCCTCACATTCACTGCCCCAGGTTCACAGGGGCCATTCTGGCCAAGCTCCTGAGGTTGCACTGGAGTTTGTCAATGCTATGCTGCCCAGCTTTTGTCCCAAATACTTGGAGAAAAAATTATGCCAACTTGTAATATATTACGTGTTCATGTGTGATTTGTAAATTGTGCATTGGGTCAGAGAGCGCCCTTCCAGATGATGTGCTGCTGGGAAGACCCTGTCTCTGTGCAACATGCTGCTCTCTGCTCCTTTGCCCAACCAGCCACTCGCAGCTCTGCCTGGGTCAGTGCCCTCACCACTCTCTGCTCTGCCTGGCTGCGCTATGGGCTGCACAAGCCGGTGCTTGCTGGGAGTACATGTGGCACACGGGAGCAGGAATACAGACACACATGAATTAACATGCTCAGCAACTAAAACAACACTGACAACAAGGGCAACACGGCTCTCTTTCTCGACACGCCTGTGGCTCACGTGCTCTTGGGTGGGAGGCCCCTCACCATGCCCTTGACAAGTGGACGTCAGACCGAGGGACCTGCCACCCCTGGTGCTGCTGGGACAACTGTGACAGTGGGCGGTTGAGCAGGGAGAAGCTGGGGAGGGAGGTGCTGAGTGGCACACGCAGCAGAGATTTCCCACCCAGGAGGGCATGCATGCGCAGGGGAAGGCCTGTCAGTGCTTAGAGCTTCAGCGCATGCTGTCGCTGTTGCCACACCAGCCACAGCTGCATTCACAGCCGCCGCCACAGGAACTCCCACAGCTACCAACACAACCGTCTTTGCTGTCTCCTTCCGCCACCAATGCACTGAACGCGCCCTTGAACGCAAGGGGGCCACAAATGCACGCTCCCTTACAACTGCGCACTGCCATGCTGCAGAGCCCTTCTTCCCGGGTGCTCTGTCAGCTTTGTGCAACCCCATGCTCCCTTCGTGGCCTGACGTGGCCGTTACACCAGGAGGTGATGGGATGCCCTGAATGCCACAGCTGGTCATGGGCTCAGCTTGGATGTTCACGGCTAGGCTCGTCTAATTTGTTCAATCAACAATGGAGTTGATACGATGGTGCTATGTGTAACCATAAGATTGGTGTGCATGAGTGCGCTGACTTCACATACTACAGCCGTTTCTCCTCATGGGATGGGATGCCTCCAGGCATGCCCTACGATATCAGGAATTTCCCCCTGAAATTCCTGATTTTCAGCCTAGTTTTGTGTACCTACACTGATTTTTCAGTGTTGAGATTTTTGTGACACTGACTTTTTCAGCCTTTAATTTTGTTGGGCTGAGAAAAGCCCTTAGGATCTTTTCAAGGCTAAGACCCTAAGTAGAAGTGTTGTAATTGCGGAAGCTTTCTTAATAAACTTGTTGAACCAACTTGCATTATTGTGTGAGAGCAAGAGATTGATTATAGCAAAGTAATTCAAAGCTTTTATATGATTACAAGAAATATGAAAAGATGCAACCATTTGTTTTACTGTTACTGTTGCAGTTCGATACAGCGACGACTCGGGCAACTGCTCAATACCGAGTCAGTTGTGTGTCCTGTCGAATTACTAGGCAAGAATCAGAAACAAAAAAGGGAGAGTTTTCACTAGCAGCAGTTGAGATACATATACGAAACCCTAATTGGGTTGTACTCGCTATAGAGTACCCCACTGCAGGCTAGACAAACATCACATTCTGACACAACCCCATAGTCAAAGTGGGGCATAATCAGCACAACAAGCAGGTAGAGCAATAGTTCACAAGGATAAGCAAAGCTAGAGGCTATCACAGAGGGCAAGTGAGGAGGAGGAGAAACTGTGGGGGGCGAGAAGATGGGAGGCAACGGCTGAAGCTGCAGACACACGGGCAACAGGAGTGCGCAGCAGTGACGCTAACAGGCGAAGAGCCCCGGACTACACGGCGACAGGTGCAGCTGGCTCTCTGTGCTCCCACGAGTGCTCACACTGTGGCTACCAGGCGCAGAGCCCCGGACTACACGGCCACAGGGGGCCGTGACTCTCTGGACTACTAGGAATGCTCACACTGTGGCTACCAGGCGCAGAGCCCCATACTACACGGCCACAGGGGGTCGTGGCTCTCTGGACTTCAGGCGCAGCGGACGACAAGTCGGCTACCTCCGGTCAACCTCCCCCAACTGTCCCACACCCCTTTCACACACTCCTTGCTGAACCTCTAGCACTGCTCACACGCCACCCCCCTTGTACCACTCCGACGGCTCTAACACATCCACCCCCCTCAGCGGCAGCTGCAGCAGTGGGATACGGAGGAGGAGGAGGAGCAGGGGACGGCTCACACACCCGGCACCCCCATACTCTCCACCCCAAAACCCTAACACAGGAGCACGGGCAGCAGCGGGGGTGGGGCACGGTCAGAAGCTCGGGGGACGGCGTGCGGCACTGGGGCAGACTGTACGGGCCGCGCACGGGCCTAGCGAAGGCGGGACGAACCACGCGCGGGCTGCTTAGGCCGCGCGCAGGCTTGGCGCAGCCCGTACGGGTCGCACGCGGGCCTGGCGCAGGCCGTACGGGCCGCGCGCGGGCCTGGCGCAGCCCGTACCTGTCGCGCGCGGGCCTGGCGCAGCCCGTACGGGTCGCGCGGGGGCCTGGCGCAGCCCGTACGGGTCGCGCGCGGGCCTGGCGCAGCCCGTACGGGCAGCGCGTGGGCCTGGGGCAGGTCGCACGGGCCGCGTTGGGCGACGGGGGGCGACGCGCGGGTCACCGGGGCAGGAAACCGCCGCGTGCTCCCAGGGCGCACGGCGGGCAGGGCAGAAAACCGACACATCATAAGCGTTAAATTGTTGAAGATAGTAGCTAGGAATGTTGAATAGAAGAAGAGGGATCGTACTAGCAGGCAGAGGGGATAAAAAAAAGAAACCCTAACAAGGATGTACTCACTTCTATGTACCCCACTGCAGACTAGACAATATAACATTCTGACACACCCCCATAGGCAAAGTGGGGTATAATCAGCACAACAAGCAGAGCAAGTTAATAAATTAGCAGAAGGGTAGTGAGGAGGAGGGACTACGAGAGGAGAGGAGTTGGGAGGCGGCAGGTGAAGCTGCTGACACACAGGCAACGGAACAACTAGCACACTGGCTACCGTGTTAGAAATAGTAGTTGAAAGTTAGAACAGGAAAGAGGGGTTTGGACTAGCAGTAGCAGGATACATATAGGAAACCCTAAATTGGGCTGTACTTGTTGTAGAGTACCCCATTGCAGGCTAGACAAATACTGTGAAAGTTTAGAAGAAAGAAGAGGGTTGCACTAGCAAGAATGAGGATACAAATAGCAAACCCTAGAAGGGTTGTACTCGCTATAGAGCACCCCACTACAGGCTAGAGCATAACATTCTGAGACACCCCCATAGCCAAAGTGGGGTGTAATCAGCACAACAAGCAGGCAGAGCAATAGTTCACAATGATAAGCAAAGCTAGAGGCTATCGCAGAGGGTAAGTGAGGAGGAGGAGAGACTGTGGGGGCGAGAAGATGGGAGGCGACGGCTGAAGCTGCAGACACACGGGCAACAGGAGCGGCGCGCACTGTGGCTACCGGCGGCAGAGCCTCGGATTGAAGGAGTAACAGGCTCCGCGGCTAAGAGGAGCGGCAGGAGCAACAGACCCACGGGTGACAGGGACAGCAGGCTCTCTGGGCTACCAGCGGCAGAGCCCCGGACTACAGGTGCTGCGGACGACAAGACGGCTGCCTCCACTCAACCTCCCCCAGCTGTCCCACACCCCTTTCACACACCCCCTGCTGTTCCCCTAGCACTGCTCACACGCCACCCCCCTAGTACCACTCCGACGGCTCCCACACATCCACCCCCCTCAGCGGCAGCTGCAGCAGTGGGAGACGGAGGAGGACGAGGAGCAGGGGACGGCGCACACACCCCCAGACTTGCCACCCCCAAACCCTAACACAGGTAGCACAGGCAGGAGCGCGGGTAGCGGGCGAGCGGCAGCGGGGCGGCGCGCTGGTCCCTGGGGCGCCTCGGCGGGCGACGGGAGGGGGCGACACGCGGGCCCCCGGGGCGCCTCGACGGGCGACGGGAGGGGGCGACGCGCGGGCCCCCGGGGCACCTCGATGGGCGACAGAAGGGGGTGACGCGCGGGCCCCCAGGGTGCCACGACGGGCGACGGGAGGGGCCGACGCGCGGGCCCCCGGGGCACCACGACGGGCGACGGGAGGGGGGCGACGCGCGGGCCCCCAGAGCGCCGCGGCGGGCGACGAGAGGGTGGGGGGAGGGGGGGGGGGCGCGCAGGCCCCCAGGGCGCCACGGGCGACGGGAGGGGACAGCGCGTGGGTCCCCGGGGCGCCACGACGGGCGACGAGCGCACGGCGGGCAGGAAACCGCCACGCGCCCCGAGCACGTGGCGGGTAGAAAACCGCCGCGCGCCCCGAGCGCGGCGGGAAGAAAAAACGCCACTCGCGCAGGGTGCGCGGCAGGAAGAAAACGCCGCGCGCCCGGGGCGCGCGATAGGCAGGACAGCAGCGGAAGCATAGGGTGGGCCCAACCATAGGATCGACCAAGGAGGGTCGACCTGCTCTGATACCATGTCGGAAACAGTAGCTGAAAGTTAGAACAGGAAAGAGGGGTTTGGACTAGCAGCAGCAAGATACATATAGGAAACCCCAAATTGGGCTGTACTCGCTATAGAGTACCACACTGAAGGCTAGACAAATACAACATTCTGACATACCGGAGCAAGGGCCCCGGACTACTGGAGCAACTAGCTCCGCGGCTAGACGAGCGGCTGGAGCAACGGACCCACAGGCGACTGTTGCTGTAGCAACCCTAAACCCTAAATCCTGGGCGACCCTAAACCCTGAACCCAAAACCTAGGGGCAACGCGCGGGTCCCGCAGGGTGTCGCCCGGGTCCCACGGGGCAGGGCGCGGGTCAGGTGGGGCGACGTGCCGAGCAGAGACCGCCGCGCGCCCCGAGGCGCGCGGCAGGCAGAAATCGCCACGCGCCCCGAGCGCGCGGCGGGAAGAAAAAAAACGCCGCACACCCCGAGCGTGCGGCAAGCAGAAAACGTCGCGCGCCTCGGGCGCGCGATAGGCAGGACAGCAGCAGAAGCATAGGGTGGACCCACAGGCCAGGATCAAACGAGCTCTAATGCCATGTTGAACATAGTAGCTAGGAATGTTGAATAGTAGAAGAGGGATTGCACTAGCAGGCAGAGGGGAAACAAAAAGGAAACCCTAATAGGGCTGTACTCACTACTGAGTACCCCACTGCAGACTAGACAATATAACATTCTGACATAAATTACTTGTTTCCAACACTCCCCTTTGCTTCTGGATGTCAAATTATAATATTCTGTAGGCTATAGTGGGGTAGCCCATATGGGGTACACATTTCTAGGGTTGCATACTTGTATCACTTTCATTCCATAGTTCATCCATTCTCGTTCTACTTTTCTCATGGTATCGAGCAGGTTCCCCCGTGGGAAATGTGCCTAGGGCCCACCACATCGATTTTTTTTTCCTGCCCGAAGCGCGCTCGGCCTGAGTCGCGCTCCGGGCCCTCTCTCGCTTTGTCGAGCCGCCCTAAAGGCCCCGCCGCCCGTCGATTAGGCCCCGCCGCCTCACACTGCGGCCCCGCCGCCCCTCGTCGCGGCCCCGCCGCCTCTCTCGACGCGGCCCCGCCGCCCTTCGTCGCGGCCCTGCCGCCCTTCGTCGCAGCCCCTGCCGCCCTACGTCGCGGCCCCGCCACCCCTCGTCGCGGCCCCGCCGCCTCTCTCGACGCGGCCCCGCCGCCCTTCGTCGTGGCCCTGCAGCCCTTCGTCGCGGCCCATGCCGCCCTTCGTCGCGGCCCCGCCACCCCTCGTCGCGGCCCCGCCGCCTCTCTCGTCGCGGCCCTACCGCCCTTCGTCGCGGCCCCTGCCGCCCTTCGTCGCGGCCCCGCCACCCTTCGTCGCGGCCCCGCCGCCTCTCTCAACGCGGCCCCGCCGCCTCTCTCGACGCGGCCCCGCCGCCCTTCTTC